ATAGTTACACTTTTTGATGCAATCCAAAGGACACTGTCGCGATGGTTCCATGAGCGTCGTACGGAGTTAGATAATTTTACTACAACCCTTGTTCTGTCAGCTGAAAAATTATTGCGAGAACGTATGGAACTGTCAAATGCACTGTTTGCCTATCCTCTTAATGCTCAAGAGTTCACTGTGCGCAGCTATGGTTCGGATGCTCTAGTTAACCTTGTTAGAAAAACTTGCAGCTGTAAAGTGTTTGACATTCAATGTTTACCTTGTCCTCATGCATTAGCAGCACTGAAACACCAACGGAAGTCGGATTTTGGTTCAAGAATTTACATGGAACTTTGCTCCCCTCTCTATATGACAGATCACTACATGCTAGCTTATTCAGAAACGATATATCCGGTGCCTCCAGAAGAGCAGTGAGTAGTGCTGCCAGAGGTGGCTAACATTATCATCCACCCGCCATTCAAGAAGACAGCAAAGGGGAGAAAAAGAGTTAAGCGTATTCCATCAGCCTTTGAGGTTCCGCGGAAGATGAATAAGTGCTCAATTTGCAAGCAACCTGGCCACAAGAGAAGGAATTTCCAAAAGCAATCACATGCAGATCCAGTAAATTAGGTTCGAAGAAGGATGAAATTCAGGGAGTTGCCAAGGCCAACCGTTGATGAGTTATTGTTTTCAATTATTGATGTTATAAATTTTATTGTTACCTTTAATAAATCACTCTTTATATTTCTTGTTACATGGCCTAAATATTTGTTGTTGATTTTAGTTTGGAACTAGGTTGTCAAATTAAGGAGAAAGAATGGAATTAATACGTGTTGGTAATTTTAGTTTGTCAAAATTCAGGAGAAAAGCAGGAAAAGTATATATTGCCAATGATCGCTTAAGCGATTAAGTATATCACTTAAGCGACAAAGGGTTTTTCAAATAGGATCGCTTAAGCGATATCACGGATCGCTTAAGCGATATCACGGATCGCTTAAGTGATATCATAGATCGCTTAAGCGATCGTGCACCTAGGCAGATGATTCTGCCCACGTGCACAATCGCTTAAGCGATCCACAATCGCCTAATCGACCAAGACAAAAAGAGAAGAATCGCTTAAGCGATCGTGCACCTAGACAGATGATACTGCCCAAGTGCACGATCACTTAAGCGACAAAGGGTTTTTCAAACAGGATCGCTTAAACGATACCACGGATCGCTTAAGTGATATCACAGATCGCTTAAGCGATCGTGCACCTGGGTAGATGATTCTGCCCACGTGCACAATCGCTTAAGCGATCCACGATCGCCTAATCGACCAAGACAAAAAGAGAATAATCGCTTAAGCGATCGTGCACCTGGACAGATGATACTGCCCAAGTGCACGATCGCTTAAGCGATATCAAGGATCGCTTAAGCGATCATGCACCTGGGCAGAATCATCTCCCAATCACATGATCGCTTAAGCAATCCACGATCGCTTAATCGACCAAGTGAAAAAGAAAAGAATCGCTTAAGCGACCCTGTGTAAACGAAGTTCCTTTTAATACGATCACTTAATCGACCAATGAAAAATTTGAAAATTTGACAATTACACCCCCACCTACCCAACTTCCCAGATTCCGGCCACCACCGCCGGAATCCTACCGGGAAAGGGCATTACAATGCATTGCGGTCGGATCAGGCTGATAGGCCGTCGATATGGCCTTTTCCGGCTAGATCGACCACGGATGTGGCCGATAAAGGCCAGATCACGGCCAGATCTGGCTGTCGATGGACGGAAAAGTTGACATCTAGCCGTCAACATCAGCCATTTCTTTTGAAAGTTGATGACGACCCGATGTGGCCTTTTCTGGCCAGATCCACAGTGGATCTGGCCGGAAAATGTCACATCTGTGAATTACTAGCCATTTCTGGTCGTTTGTAGTCGTCGGTGGTGCCGGAATCTGAGAAGTTTGGTGGGTGGGGGTGTTTTTGTTACTTTTGAAACTTTTTCAGGCGATATTAATGAAATTAATTCAGTTAATGGGTCTAAAATTTTTTTAAAAAATACTAATATTTGCTTGATAATTAAATATTTGTTGGTGATTATAGTTCGGAATTAGGTTATCAAATTGAGGAGAAAGTATGGAATTAATATGTATTGGTAATTTTAGTTTGTCAAAATTCTGGAGAAAAGATGGAAAAGTATGTATTGCCCATGCTCGCTTAAGCAACTAAGTGTATCGCTTAAGCGACAAAGGGTTGTTCATACAGGATCGCTTAAGCGATATGACTCATCGCTTAAGCGATCATGCACCTTAAAACAGACTATTTTGCCCATCACATGATCGCTTAAGCGATCGTTGATCGCTTAAGCGACCAAACGAAAAAGGGAGGAATCGCTTTAGCGATAAAACGGATCGCTTAAGCGATAAAACGGATCGCTTAAGCGATCATGCACCTGGGCTGATTGAATCTGCCCATCACATGATTGCTTAAGCGATCCAATATCGCTTAATCGACCAGGCGAAAAAGACAAGAATCGCTTTAGCTATATCACGGATCGCTTAAGCGATCATGCACCTTAAAACAGATTTGAATCTGCCCATCACATGATCGATTAAACGATGTAGAATCGCTTAATCGACCAGGCGAAAAAGACAGGAATCGCTTTAGCGATATCACGGATCGCTTAAGAGATCATGCACCTTAAAACAGATTTGAATCTGCCCATCACATGATCGATTAAGCGATGTAGGATCGCTTAATCGACCAAGCCGAAAAAAGAGAAATCGCTTAAGCGATCATGATGGATCGCTTAAGAGATCATGCACCTTAAAACAGATTTTGAATCTGCCCATCGCTCAAACGAAAAAGAGCAAAATCGCTTAAGCGATCATGCACCTTAGAACAGATTTTTAATCTGCCTATCACATGATCACATAAACAATATACGATCGCTTAATCGACCTAGCGAAACAGAGAGGAATCGCTTAAGTGTATCAAGGATCTCTTAAGTGATCATGCACCTTAAAACTAGATTTTTTGTGCAAATGATTGTGCACAGTTACGACTCCGTACATAAAATTGTTAGTTATTGGCAATTGTGTGATATAGACGTAAACAGTCTACACCATATATGTTTGATATAGATGTAAAAGAATTATATGTTTTATTAAAATAGAATAACAATCATGTTCCACTGAACAAATCGTACACTCTAAAGGCATTTTATTGCTCGAAGTTTTAACATCTTTATGTTCGAAGAAAAGAAGAACCATATTTGTTCCGAGAACTTGCATGGTTACCTAGTTCTCTTCAACCCTATATATTTAATATAGACGGCCACATTCTACACCATATATGTTTGATATAGATGTACAAGAACTATATATTTAATAAAAATCTAATAACGGTCATGATTCACTGATCGAATCGTCAAACCAAAGATGTTAAGAGTTCGAGCAATAAAATGGCTTTAGGGTTGAGATATGGATAAAGAAGAAGACGGTTTTTGCTTGTGCAGATGGTTTTGCAGAGTTAGAGCTGGCTTCAATAAAATGGCTTTAGGGTTGAGGTGTACGATTCGTTCAGTGGAATATGACCGTTATTATATTTTAATTAAACATTTAGTTCTTTTACATCTATATCAAACATATATGGTGTAGAATGTGGCCTTCTATATTAAATATATAGGGTTCAAGAGAACTAGGTAACCATGCAAGTTCTCGGAACAAATATGGTTCTTCTTTTCTCGGAACATAAAGATGTTAAAACTTCAAGCAATAAAATGCCTTTAGGGTGTACGCGATATCATAAATAGTAAACAAATCTTATCCTTCATTCTTCATAACATAAAGGGTGCATTTGGTTAAATATTTGTATCCATATTTCAAAAATGTTTGTTAGTTTAATTATTTAGAAATATTAGCTTATATTTTTAATTACTTTTAGGCCCCTTAAGTTTATTAATAATCAAATACCCCGAGGAGTAATTTTAAAATTTAAGAAATACACCCCCACCCACCGAAATATCACCGTCGGAAAAGGCCATATCGACGCCGGCATCCAGCTAGAAAAGTACGTTACGACACACACTGATCACATCGACCACAGATGTTGCCCAAAAAGACCAGATCTATAGCAGATCTGGCCGTGGATCTAGTATTTTAAGGCCAGATGTGGCCGTCATTGTGGCCTTTCCTTTGGACGGCCACATGTGGCCTTTCCTTTGGACGGCCACATGTGGCCTTTTCCGGTGAGATCCAGCATCGATCTAGTGGAAAAAAGCCACATCGGTGAATTACCACCGACGGGACATTTGTAGGCCGTTGTCACACATCCCGGTGACTCTTGGTCGCTTACGGGATTTAAGATCGCTTAAGCGATCTCTTCTGAGACAAAATCAAATCTGCCCAGATCTAGGATCTCTTAAGCAATCCTCTAGGATCGTTTAAGAGATGAATCGCTTTTACTCTTGGTCGCTTAAGCGATTTAAGATCTCTTAAGCGATCTCTTCCGAGGTAGAATCAAATCTGCCCATATCTAGGATCACTTAAGCGATCCTCCGTGATCACTTAAGCGATTCTTCGCTTTTACTCTTGGTCGCTTAAGCGATCTCATATTGAGCAGAATCAAATCTGCCAAGATCTATGATCTCTTAAGCAATCCACTTGGATCGCTTAAGCGATAAATCGCTTTAACTCTTGGTCGCTTAATCGATCTTGGATCGCTTAAGCGATCTCTTAGTGGGCAGAATTTTAATCATGGTCGCTTAATCGATCTTTGATCGCTTAAGCGATCACTTCCGACTTATCTGCCCAAATGAAGAATCGCTTAAGCGATCCATTGTATCTCTTAAGCGATTCTTCTTTTTCAAACTTGGTCGCTTAAGCCAGTTAAGATCTCTTAGGCGATCATTTGGGGAAAAATGTGGGTCGCTTAAGAGATATATGTGGTCGCTCATATATCGCTTAATCGATCTTGAGAAAAAGAGAAGAATCCTACATTTCTCCTGAATTATGTAATGATCTGTCTTTATAAAGGTAATTTTGAAATAACTGTGATTGTGATACATTCCGAGGCAGAATCATTTCCCTCCCAAATCCGAAAAGAATAAGCAGCAAAATGAAGTCATTTATATCAATCTAATCCATCACAAATCAAAATGTAAGAGGCATCAATGAATTGAAAGTTTAAACTTAAAATCATTCATAATAGTACCAAAACAGAATAAATCCTCAGCCACTTTGAGAAGCTTTCAAGTTCGGTATAATCACAGTCAGAGATCATTGATTGGTACCATGCCTTGCCAGCAGCCTTGCTTGCAGATGCCGCCACTTTAAGAAGCTTTCAAATTCGGTTTAATAACTGTCTGAGATCATTGTTTGGTACCATGTCTTGCCAGCAGCCTTGATTGCAGAAGATGCCTCCTCCTAGCCACCAACCTTGATTGCAGAAGATGCCTCCTCCTGGACACCAACCTTGATTGCAGATGCCGCCTCCTGGCCACTAGCCTTGATTGCAGATGCCTTGCGGGCAGCCTACTCTGACAGGCCAAGCCAGTTTCAAAAGTTCCCTCTCATTGTTTGCCAGCAACCTGGAAAATTTTCTCTCGTCACGAACCCAAGTTATGGAGTGCAAGATTGAGAAGTTCACTGAGTCCGTATATTTCGGTAAAGCTCTGTATAACCCTAAACCTACAACATCAGCACCACAACCCAAGTATAAACATGAACATCACATAAACTACAAAATTCAAAGTCCAAGTTCCAAACCTTTTGATTGGGTTATGGTAACTCAAAACGGATCCATTTCCCCATGGAAGCACTCAACAGCCTAGCGCTCCCGAAAAATGGTCATTGTTTCATCATTCAATCCGTCCATCGGGGTGTTGGTCATGTCGAACTGAATAAATTTCAGGGCATATGCCTCACAATCAGCACTGCAATAGGAATAGCACATTAGCATTAGAATCAACTTATTTCACAATTGTATTATGTAAGTTAGTTTTATACAAAATTTACCTTGATTCATTTGTTAGGACAGGAACGCGCTTGAGTGGCCACTTTCCCGTCAATGCTTCATCACTGAGGTGGTCAAACATCCCGCTGTCGCGTAACAGTCGCGTAACAGCCGCGAGAACAACACGGACAATGTCTCCAACTAGGCCTCCAACTGTCTGTCTCGACAAATTGTTGGGTTGTAGTCAAGGATCTTCAGCAACCTCTCCTCTAAGAGCGCCACAACTGCTATCTAGTACATTTCCTTGACCAGGATGATGCAGTAGACGCTCTTAACCTTTGCCCAACTGTGGCCATATTTAGGCTTATCCCCCATTATATACTGCATCATCCTGTCATCAAACCTAAAATCATTAGGGACGCAGTCCAAGTCTTCTATGCTCGATCATTTTCATTTGGCTCCTTTTGCTACAGATGCACCAATGGTCTTTTTCAATAAATTGCGATATGTCGATACCAGCGTTTGGCCAAAGGCCATATCGGTGATGGCACAATCGGGATACAGTAGATCACCATTGCTGGTTTGTCGCAGCCTCATCAGTGCCAATACCTCATCGATGAGCTGCATCAAATAAAAACAACATGATAAGTATACAATACCTCATGGAAAAGATAAGCAAAAATAAGGAAAATTAAGCGAAAATAATTGACCGAGTCGTGAAGCCACCTGCCCATCGTCAAAATCTCTCCAAACCATTCCCGAGAATAATCCCTGGTCTTAGGCTTTACAAGGGCATCACTTCCGGATTCATTGTAATAGACATAGAAGGGTTTTTTCTTTTCCTCCTCTATTGGCCTATACAAATCAACAGTGGACTCCATTTTTGCTTGCCCGCTTCCTCCCCCTTCCTCCATTTCTACATCCCCGCTTCCTTCGCCTCCCGCCTCAACCTCCTCCATTATAACTACCCTACTGCCTCCAGCAACCCCCTTAACCTCCTCATTTTTGGCTTCTTCCTCACTTTGTTTCTTTGTTTTCCTCTTAATTCCACGTGTTAGTACGGTGTAAGGCGATTTCACAAACCTGCTCTTTCGGCTCTCTCTTCTCAGCCCAGGTTGCACTTCAACCGCCTTTAATACTCCACCAACTTCCTCCTCCACCCTAACAACTTTTTCTCCCACCTTATCCACTTTCTCTTCCACCCTTTTCAACTGCTCTTTCATCCTATCAAACCTGCCATAAACAGCTGTTGTAAAACTATCAAACAAACTGTTAATGAGGTCAACCACCTCACTCTCCCGACCCGCACACCTCGGCAAAGCGGTACTTGTTGTACCCGTTTGTTGAGGCATACGAACCTGTTCCTCCCTCCCCTCCTCCTCCCTCCCGCCGATTCCTGTTTCATCCTCCTCGGCGTCAACCACATTCTCAAGCAGTAGCCCTGCAACTGCCCTCACATGTGTGACCCCTTGTAGCTCCCGCATCAGGCGGTCTATCCCTTCATCCATTTCATCCTCCAATGCTCGGAAAGATGTGACATAGTCCTGTTGCGCTTCACCCCCAGTAGCGGTGAGGAAGGGACGGACAACCCCCTGTAATAAGAAACAAAATCAATTAGATTTAAGCGACATTTTAAAGCAAATGCATATTCAAAAGCTTAATCCTTTAATCTTACCCAAGCTGATTGAATTTCAATCTCTATTTGCTCATAATCCCAATGGGTACACTTCTGGTCCTACCACCGCAACATCCTAGGAAATATCTGTTGCACAACCGAAGAAGACCTAATCCTCCCACCTACCTTAGCCAGGACAGGGATGGCCTCATACATCCAAGCCAACATTGTAAAAAAACAGTCCATATCATAATTCAAACACATATATTAAAAAAAATATAACAAAAAGCTATTAATATTTACCTGCATTGCCCACGGAAAGCCAAACAAATTGTACGTGGCCATTCTACCCTTCTTCATCCATTGGGAGTGCTTTGACACCAACTCTTTTGCTTGCAGGGACTCCATGGTTTGCTTAAATGATAGTTGTCCCCACGGATAAGCATTAAAGAAATTCTAGTTGCTTACAAACATCACCCAATCAATATCAATGGCTTTTGTTGAGTCACCAGCCATTAGGATTGAATGTAAGAACAAAACCAAGCACAGTTTGAATGTCTCCGAATCGTTAAACTCATCATTTATTAACCTTTCCTCTAACTCCTGTGCCTTAATAGACGTGTTCCCCGCCAAAACCTTGTTAGCCAATCTTTTGGCTGCCGGACTGTCCTTCATTCCTTTTGCCTCAACCTCACCTGGCAATTCCCCACATCTTAAGCCAGTCACCAACGCATATTCTATCATCCCGAAACGTAGTGGCTTTCCATCCACCACGAACCACATTTCATAATTTTTTTTGCTTTTTATTAAGTGCAGCAGCATATAATGCACTCCCGACCCCCAGAATGTCTTTTTCCATTTTCTGTCCATATCCCAAAATTGATTGAAACAAGTCTCTTTGAATCTCCTTTCACCATTCCTCAGTGTCCGTAAAATCCCCATTATTCTCGTTAAAACATCCCAACTTGACCTTACTGTCACCCGCACAGGGAAGTACGATACCGTATCACTTACACACTCCAACCCGTACTCTCTAAAGTTTATGCTTCGGAAAATCTGCATAATCGATATAAACAGAATATCACCAAAAAAATTTAACCAAATCAAATATAAACAAAATACACTCCGGAAGAATCGCTTAAGCGATGGGCAGATGATTCTGCCTCGATCTTAGATCGCGTATTGCTTAAGCGATTCATCGCTTTTACTGCTAAGCGATCTATAATCGCTTAAGCGACCCACAGTAAAAGGGATGAATCACTTTTACTCTGGGTCGCTTATACAGATCGCTTAAGAGATCTTCTACGAGGCAGAATCATCTGCCAGTCTAAGATCGCTTAAGCAATACTTTGTATCGTTTAAGCGATTCAACTCTTTTACTCTTAAGCGATTACAGATAGCTTAAGAGATCTTCTACGAGGCAGAATCAACATCTGCCAGATCTAAGATCGCTTAAGCGATCATTTATATTGCTTAAGCGATTCATTGCTTTTACTCTTAAGCGATCCTAAATTGCTTAAGCGACTAAGAGTAAAAGCCATCAATCTCTTAAGCGATACAAAGGATCACTTAAGCAATCTTAGTTCTTATCAGATGTTCAGTATGCTTTGGACATTATCGCTTAAGCGATCTTACATCGCTTAAGCGACAGTACCGATACCTTTTCTTCGGCGGCCTCCTCCTTCTCGTCTGAACTTTCGCGGGACTCCTCTTCCTCGCCTGAATTTTGGCCGGCCTCCTCTTCCTCGCCAAAACCGTTTTGCTCCTGTTCTCTCTCTTGTTGTGCCACCGTCATCTCCGCTGCTGGAACACTTTCACTGATCGAAACATCCACCAGAGCAGCCATTAAACTGCTTGCGTCGCCGGACTCTACGATTCGAAGAGGCGTTAGGTTTTCTTCGTCATTGTGAATGTCAGCCATTGTTTTAAGAAAGGAAGAAGCTTTAGGATTGAATTCGGGTTTGAAAATTTGTAGGATTGTGGACTGTTATCGCCGGAAATTACGCAGAATGCGTTTACGGTTGAAAATTTGCATGAATGAGAAACTGTTATCGCCGAAAATTGCGCAGAATGCGTTTACGGTTTGAAGAATCGATTTTTGCCTAAATCGGTTTCGATTCAACGATTTGAATGGGTGAGGCTCTTTTTCAAATTTCAAATTTTAAAAACTTTCATTAATTATTATGCCACGTCATCTTCTCTAAATTAAACGTTTTAATCTTTTCATTTTAACCCCATTTACGTGTTTAATTAATCCTAACTATTCCACGTCATCTTCTCTAAATTAAAAAAAATAAAAAAACAGTTTCAAGGCCATTTTGTTAAATGCAAACTTGGGATGGCCTGGGAGTTAAATTTCCTCCATTGTTATCGGGTTTCATCGCAATTGATAGTGGAGTTCATATCATCTCTAAAAAAGCTTCATTGCCCTTTATATCATCATCATTAACCTTTCCCAAGCCACCCAAAACGCCATCAACTAATTTCTCCACACCCTTTTCTCATAACCCAGAACACAGAACTTTCAATTAGCTGATTTTGACAAATTGATACAACAAGAAAGAAAAAATTAAAAGGAACAATTAAATTAAATTAAAAAAAAAAAAAATGAAAACGACTTACTTCCCAATATGTAACGCCTTCGCGGTACCACTGAGTCTTCTTGTGGGGCTCGCCTTCTTGGCCAATTTGTTCTCTCCACATTTCTTCTGTGTTCTTGAACTGTTTGCCATCTGAATCTAACCCGCTTAGCTCCATCGCCACGCTCCTCTCTCTCCCTTTCACTCTCACTCTCTTGCCAAATATCAACAATGCGACTTTGAATTGCCACCAAACTCACCCCTTCCAACATAGCAGTCACAGCAAAACCCCCCAGCTCCATGCCATAAACCCCTCCCCCTCCAAGTTAACAACCACAACAAGTCCCCTCACCTCTATCATCCACAATCAAAACCCCCCACCTCCATCAAAGTCACAATCAAAACTCTTCGCCTCCACCATCTTCGTTACAATCTTTCAATTATCAACTCACAATAACAAAAAATAGAAACCCATGAAATTAACATTATTAAAATTCCAATTACCGAAATGGAATTCTAATCCGCTGAGAAATTAACGAAATTGGGTGAAAACAAAATCTAATCCACTAAGAAATGAACGAAATTGGTTGTGCAGAGAAATGAACGAAATTGGGCGATTGGAAAAGATGAGGGAGAAGCCAACTTAACAACCGCAGCAAGCCCCCTCACCTCCATCATCCGCAATCAAAACTCCCCGCCTCTATCAAAGTCGCAATCAAAACTCTTCGTCTCCACCATCTTTGCTACAATCTTTCAATTTTCAACTCACAATAACAAAAAACTAGAAACCCATGAAATTAACATAATTAAAATTCCAATTACCGAAATGGAAATCTGATCTACTGAGAAATGAACGAAATTGGACGATTGGAAAAGATGATAGAGAAGCCAACTTAACAACCACAACAAGCCCCCTCACCTCCATCATCCACAATCAAAACTCCCCACGTCCATCAAAGTCGCAATCAAAACTCTACGCCTCCACCATCTTCGTTACAATATTTCAATTATCAAATCACAATAACAAAAAATAGGAACCCATGAAATTAACATAATTAAAATTCTAGTTACCGAAATAGAAATCTAATCCGCTCAGAAATGAACAGAATTTGGCAAAAACTAAATCTGATCCGTTGAGAAATGAACGAAATTGGGCAATTGGAAAAGATGAGGGAGAAGGGTTTTTGGAAGAAAAAAAAAGCCATTGGAGTGAGTAAAAGTTTAAAATAAAAACTTGTGTGACTTTTTTATTTGCCGTGTGACTTAAAAAAAAAAAAAGGGACAATTTGATTGATCTTGTCAGATATGAATGTTAAAACCAATGTTCTGATAATTGGTCGGGAGTCGACTCGGCTAAAGGCCCGGTTCCCGATCTTTACGATTGGACCAGTCTGACCGATGTCAGCATGCTAATCAATTGAACTTTCACAGTTTCACTATCAATTTCTAATTTTTAATTTAATGATTCATAATTTCACATCACAATAAGTCAATAATACAATATTGTAAACCCCACGATATTATTCTGATGCCCTAAGGTATGAAATTTATCTTTTCAAGTAATTTTCTTTTTTGAATGGAATGGTAAAATGGTCAATTTACATGTATTTCGAGATGTGGCCATTATAAAGTGTAAAGGGTGAGGTCATTGAAGAGAAATAAGGGTAGAATGGTCATAAAGTTAATTGATAAGGTTAAATGGCATAAACGGTAACCAAGGGTATAATGGTCTTTTCATATAAAACCATATGATTTAAGTGTCCATAAAAGTGCACCAAGGGTAAATTAGTCATTTATCTAATAGAATTGCTTAATGGTTAAGTGTTTTAAAGAAGTCAAATGGCATTAAATGAGTACTTATCTTTATGTTGTGGTGGAAATGACCAAAACGCCCTTATATGAAAAATTTATGCCAAATGACCTTTATATCTAACTTTTATTGACCAATCACATTAGAGTAACAATGGAATGAATATTTACAAGGTTTAAAGAGAGAGTAGTCGGCCTTGGANTTTTTAATTTTTTAATTTCATTTTTTTTTCTACCTTCTACAGAGTTCAACAAGTTGATTATATTTATATTTTGAATATGTTAAGTTGGTTAATTAAAAAATAATTTAATAAATATTTATAAACAGTTAATAAGGAAATACTTTGTTGTTGATTGTTTTTATGTTTTAATTTTAATATTTCAATATAATTAATATTGTGAATTTAGGGTTTGTGGTATAAACTATTTCGTACGAGTTCAATCATATTTTATTTTATTATATAATTTATATTTCAAATAGGGCCATTGCGGCACCCATCAAAGGAGTACATCCCCAATCACCAAAAAAGAAGAAGTTAAACATAATGATAATATGATAGAAATGATGTCAAGTCTACTTATAATAAGGCCATAAGTATTCATTTGAATAGAAATCATGTAAAAAATTTAACTCATCAAATTCATTTCAAGCTGTTGTGTGTGATTTTTTCGTCAATCTTGGAGAATTGCGAGGTTATAGCTAGATCCGAAATTTGCTCGATTCAAGTGATTGTCCAACCCAACATAGGCTCGTCGAGTTGTAGCTTGACCTAGTACAAGCTAGTTGTGACTAATCTTTACAGTTGTTCAACCAGCTCACAGATAACTCCAGATCCCAGATATTTGAAAAGGGATCAGATCGACAACAATCTTGACGCAATCTCAGCACTCAATCGTGAGAATATTGGAGTTGCATTTTGTTACAGATGTATATAACTTCCTAGATTATAGGGATCACATTAAAATCCTGGATTATTGGGATCACTTGTATCCTAATAGAGATTTATCACCTACCTAGTTTAGAACACTACAAGTGTATATAAATATGTATCCTTTTAAGCTATGAATGAGAAGTGTGTGTAAATATTCATCTTTAGTTCGTTTATTTACATGGTATCAAAACCTTAAAAGGTAATTAGGGTTTGGGTTTCAAAATTGGGAAATTAGGGTTTGGGTTTCAAATTGAGAACACCTGTTTAGGTTGAGATTTGTTCAACACCGCCACCCTAAGGAGATTCAGAAGCAGCCGATCGGCAAAACCCCAAGCTTCGGCCATCAGAATCCCCGCGCATGAGCTCTACACCCCACCCGAAACTTCGGTGAACAGTACCATGCGCTGGCGCGTGAGAATGTGTCCACCGTTGACGTCTCCTCCAATTCTCTTCATCTGTTTCGTCGGTACTTGTACAGCACATTTTCGCGCTGGATTGGGTAATCTCTTACTGGTTCACTGCTGTTCTTTGTTTGGATATTTCCAAGGATTTAGTTGTGATCTTTTGACACTTTGTTTTCGTTTGGTTATTGGATTTTTGCTATGCTATGGCCTCTGGTTGGTGGTGGCTGTTGATTGATTTAGTGTGTCACTGAAATTTTGTTAGTTTGCTTTGTTTTAACCGTTTGTTGGTGTGCATTGGGATTATTGTCTGTTTAAGACATGTCTGATACAAAGCCAATGATGGAAATGATACCGACGATATCGAAAATTACAGAACATAAGCTCATTGGTATAACTAATTACCATGATTGGCGTAAAACTATTATACTGTATTTGCGGAGTATTGATAAAGATGATCATATGATTGATGATCCACCTGAGGATGATTCGAAAAAGACATGGCTCCAGGATGATGCTCGGTTGATTCTACAAATACGGAACTCTATTGACGTTGAGGTACTTGGCCTAATTAATCATTGTGAGTTTATTAAAGAACTGATGGATTATTTGGAGTTTTTGTATTCTGGAAAAGGGAATGTTTCTCATATTTATGAAGTGTGTAAGGCATTCTACCGTGCAAAGAAACAAGATAAGTCTCTTACAGCTTATTTTATGGAGTTTAAGAAGACTTATGAAGTGTTGAACATGTTGTTACCCTTTAGTGCTGATGTCAAAGTTCAACAAAAACAACGGGACAATGGCAGTCATGAGTTTTCTTGCAGGTCTTCCTTCTAAATTTAAGACTGCTAAGTCTCAAGTTCTAGCTAGTCCAGAGATCTCTTCGTTGCAGGATGTCTTTAGTAGGGTACTTCGTACAGAAGGTACCCCACCGGTTCAGTTTAGTGGTGCTCTCATCAGTCAAAAGAATGACTATGAATCTGGGCGATCACAATTTGGAAGTGGCAACAGATGAGGGTCAAATAGTAATATAGGAGGAATTGTGTGTCACTATTGCCATAAGCCAAGACACATGAAGCGTGATTGTAGAAAGCTTCATAATAGAAATAAAAGAAATCCCTCTGCCCATGTTGCATCCACTAATGATACTTCGGATCAGTTAGTTCTTATCTCTACAGATGAATTTGCCAAGTTTTCATTGTACCAGGAATCATTAAAAGCTTCACCTACTCTTGTCATGGCTATGACTGACTCAGGTAAGCCAAATACATGTCTCATTTCCTCATCCTCCAAATTCATCATTGACTTTGGTGCAACAGATCACATGTCAGGTAATCCCAGTCTTTTTGCTACTTATCAATCAAAAACCCTTTCGAATGTGACTTTAGCAGATGGGTCACCATCCTATGTTCTTGGGTCTAGCACAGTTACCCCTGCTCCACAGCTTCCCTTGTCAAATGTCTTACATTTACCAAATTTTTCTTTCAATTTGATTTCTGTTAGCCAACTTACTCGTGCTCTTAATTGTTGTGTTTTATTCTTTCCTGATTATTGCTTGTTTCAGGATCTTACGACAAAGAAGATTATTGGTAAAGGACATGAATCTGGAGTTTATATATTCTCAACAAACCAAAATCTACACCTGTCGCTTGTTCTAGCGTTGCATCCCCGTTTCAAGCACATTGTCGTTTGGGCCATCCATCTCTTCCTTCACTTAAGAGATTGTTTCCTTAGGTTAATAAAGTGTCTACATTAGAGTGTGAGTCATGTCTATAACGCCCACACGGAGGTATGTAATTTAATTTATGTTTTTATAGCCCTTAGTTGATTTTTGTTAAAGTTATTTTAAGAGAATATGAAGAAAATGCGTTAAAACTTGCATTAAGGGTAAAATGGTATTTTCACTAAAAATTAGTTGAAAAAGTGGGGAGTGAAAAGAGAGAGAATTTCATGTAAAATGCAATAAAAATGAGGGCATTATGGTAATTAACTAAGGGACATAGATGGAATTTTTAAGAAAGTGTAAGGGCAAAATGGGAAAGTATGTTTACAAAATAAGATATTAAGGGTTTGAAACCCTTATTTCTCTCCTTCCACCACCACTTTCCTTCTCCATTTTCTCTCAAATTTTCACTCAATTTTCCAAGGATTTTTGAGGGCTTTTGAGTGGATTTTAATAAGGTTTTGATCCTAGGCAACAAGAGGTAATAATTCTTGCTCTATATATAAGATTTATTTGTGTAGAAGTTGAATTCTTATTAAGTTTCTGCTTAGGGTTAAGAGAAGGTTTGAATCCAACAAGAGCAGAGAGCTTTAGTGGAGACTACTCAAGTATAAGGTAAGTAAATTCCTCTCAAACTCAAACTCAAACTCAAGTTAAGGTTTAAGAAATCAATTGATTAGAGATTTCTTTAAGCATGTATATGTTATGATTGTTGAGAAATTGAGATGAGATTGATGATTATTTATGCTTGTTGTTGGATATATTTGAGTATGAGAGGTGTTTTTGATTGTATGATGATGGGTTGAAATTCGATTGAAATTGGAAGAGTTAAGAAAATTGTTGGAAGTGTTTTGCCGTGTAAGGATTGTGATGATACATGGGAGTTTTTTCTCATGTTGGATGGTTTAAAAAACAAATAGAATTATAGTTAAAGTAGAGTTTGTATATGCACATTTATTGTTTGATAAAATGCCTAAGAGAAGTATGAGTAGGAGTAGAAACCTTAATTTTATGCAACATTGCATAATTGCATGTCATGAGTGCATTTAAGTAAAAATTATAAGCATGAGCCATCCATATGCATATATTTGTATATGCGTAGTAACTTAAGAAAGAATAAAGAATTTTAAGAATAAAACACTCTAAGAATAAAGAGAAAGAAAGAAATAGCACTAAAGAATTAAAGAAAGAAAAAGTGTTAAAGAAGAGAAAATAATAGGTTGTTGCGATGGGGAACCGTGAGTGCTAAGAAGAAGTTTCCACATACACACCACCTTAATTGAGTGGCATAAGAAGAAGAAGAATTGTACGACCCGTAAGAGTGTATATAGATGAGGGTTATACCAAGAAGAATTCCTACATGCACGCCACTTTAATTGAGTGGCC